TACTTAATAGGTATGGCAGTTGGTTGGATACTATTTCGAACAAACTGCAAATTGCGTTTACATAAACTCACAGTAGCTACGGGATGGATATTAGCAATGTTAAATCTTTTTGTATTAATATTTGGACTTTATCGCGCACAACTATCTCGACTTATTGCTGCGGCGTACAGTTCGCTAAGTCATTCAGCGTGGGCACTATCACTAGCTTGGATCACAATAGCGTGTTCAACTGGATACGGAGGTTACATAAACACATTTTTATCTGCATCCTGGCTATATCCTTTTTCCAGAGTGACTTATTGTGCATACTTAGTGCACCCAATTGTCATACGATCAATGGCGCTAAATTCAGATGCACCACTGCACCTTGGCGGCGACACAATGGTAAAAAAATTATCAATATTTGAAAATATTTATATTAAGATCTTAAATTTTTATATTCCTTACAGGTTGTGATGTTTTTCGGATTAGTTGTAGCGTCATATCTACTTTCTTTTATTGTTTCGATATCATTTGAAGCGCCTGTTGTTACTATGCTGAAAATATTGTCTCCTAGTCGAAAGAAGCGTATCGCTTAACTTATTGCCTCAGAATACTCTTCGGAATAGGATTAATGTTCATTAAAACAAATTAAATTTTTTTTGTAAATAGATTTATTCGACTACTTAAATCATAATATTCTCTCATATGTATAATCGTGATAATCTTATAAGAACGAAATCTATTTATCAATCATTTTCATTTTTCACTTTAAAATTTTTTATAGCTTTACATTTCTCATTTAAATTCTCCGACAAATATTATATTATTAATAATTTATTCCAAAGGACACAAATGCTTGCTATTTGTGAATACGACTCATGTCATATGTACTAACTTCAATTTGATATAAATGCTTTAATTTATAAACACATTGTACATCTTTGTAAAATAAAACTTAAATAAATATTTAATTAATACATAATATAAGCAGATGATTGTTTCGAACGGGCTAAGTAAACGGAATACAGAGGTTATAACACAAAAGTTCACAATATTTTGTGATGAATTGTTAAAGAGACCTGACAAGAAAAAATATATAGAAATATAGAGCTATAAATATAAACTCTATATAAAGAAGATTATGTATTAGTAAACTCACTTAGATACAACACAGTCTTTTCTCAGATGAATACAAAAATAAAAATTTTAGTAACGTGTTGTTGTTGTAAATTTTAAAAAATTTACATTTTTATACTTTAAGAGGAAATATAACTATTATTGTTATTATGCATGTACATCCATGTTGAGATTTTTGGTATTTTTGAAGATGCAACAAATTCGAAATATGTTTTAAAATGTTACTGTGCATTGTGCTTCTGCTGCCCGTTGCTTCTGGAATTCGACAAAGCGACCGTTTAAACCCTATATTGTTCAGATATACAGAAAAACTTTGTATGAGTGAATTGTTTATTTTATAACTTTTAGGAAGACAGTTTCTATGTAAAATTAAATATGTCGGAGATATAAGCAATCAAAGATGAATTTTATGGAAAAAATCGTTATTTTCCAATCTTTGGGGCACCATTTCCACTTACCCAATTGAACTAAAATTTTACACAGATTATTTTTTTAGTAAAATGAACCGATCTGGGAGCTGCCGTCAACCAATTTTTCTAAAAAAAAATTGCCCATATACCTTAATGGCACCCCAATGTAGCACCTTCTTGTAAGCAGCGCATGAGGTCTCATGAGCCTCAGTTCGCACTCTTGCTCACGAGCGTGAGCTCTGAAATTGGGCTCGCTCGTGAGCGTGAGCCATCGTATGAAAAGACTCAAATGCACACTCTGCGCTCAATAGCTGTCTTCACTTGTCGGGACCAAATGCGCAATGATGACATTAGGCGGAACATGACTTCTTTTAAACTTCACTCATAACTTCGAAACTAAAACGCTTGACTGTAAGTTTAATGTAAACGTCTTGTATATCCTTTCATATTATTTGCTTATTTGCTTACTCCAGTGGGTTACTACTACAATAACAACAACTTGGAGCAAAATTTTTGTTTAAATAAAATTTGATTTATTTTTATATGGAAAGCTCCCAAATTACATTTATATTGTAGTAAGAATCACTTAATTCTTGACTAAGGACCATCATTTTACATATAAAAAAATAAAAACTGCATATCGAACTTGAAATAAATAGTTATGCATACATAGGATTCTTAAATCAGAAATATACCATATTAATAAATATTTTATCTTAAATAAAATAATAATTAAATATTGGAATGTACTTATTTATCTTTTTTTGTCTTTATGTCATCATTATTCAATGATACTTCAGTCTCAGTTGTGTTTTCAATACATATTTCGGAATCAATCCGATTTTTATCAACTGGATACAACCAACGTTGATAAAGATAAATTAGAAACACAACATCATCACGTAAACATGCAACCCGATGAGCAGTAGGCATAGTTATTATAAAAGCGAAGAAATCGTCTATGAAGGTATTGAATGCTTTATATGTGAACGCACGCCAAGGTAATGCAGCTACAGATTTCAATTTATAATTTATAAAAAGTTGGGGCAACATAAATAAAAACCCAAACGCATAAACTCCGTTCACAAGTGAATGCAGTGTCCACGAATACCAACTTTTATGTGGTTGATATAAAAGAGAGTATATTGCTCCCCCAATACACAGTGGATATAATAAATAACTTAAATACTTCATGCCTTCTTTATCAAATTCTTCGGTTTTTTTTTCGGCAGACCCTTCAACTGCACTGGACTTGTCTTCATATTGTTGCCTACTTATGCCTCTAAAATTTAAAATAATTTTAAATATTTTTTTACACTTCCACATTTCAAGTAATACTGAGGTGCCGGCTGGCAAAAGTACGAGAAGCGATGTTTTTTCATCTAGCAAATACAATAAAATAATTACTTGTGAAAATGCACGCCACAAAATAGTTCGTTTAGACAATCCTTCATAAGACTCCTTTTTCCGCCAAAAATGAACTTCATTTTTAAAAGCTAATATGTCGAAGAGCAGCTGAAATTAAGAAATGTTCACAAAATACATCGTTTTTCATTTCCATTTGCAAAACTTACATGTATACTTGCCACCAACATTGTACTACATAATAAATACATATTCGTATCAGAAAACATGTTTTTGACATCATCAATGTCACTTTTGGAAAGCCCAATTGATTGCATCATATTCATAGCATGTTCAAATATTAACAACAAACGTAATTTACCAATGCCAATGGGTTTGAAGTGAAAGGTAAGAGCAAATTCCGTCGTATTTTTAGTAACTTTAACCAGGTCTTTTTGATACGAATTAAAGAAATCAGTCTTCATTATCGGTAACACCTGCCGATTTCGATTAACATGTATTAAATTTGCCATCTCTGGCGCAACGTCTTTTGGTGATAAAGAAAATATGTCTGTAAGTAAGGCTACATGCACACTCGGCATAATATGAGTGATTGGTTTCAGCGATGAGTTAGCGTTGCCTTTAGCCAATTTTTCTGCTTTCACTGTGTGATCCTATTATTTGTTAATGAGATTAAATGTTAATAAAATTTTGAGGCAGTTGAGGTAAGTTTTAGCTTACTTGTTCACCAAGCAAATTAAATGCAGTTACTTGAGGTACCATATATTCAGTTATTCTCATGCTGTGAATAATTGTAGGACCATCCCTACGAAGAGATTTCCATTCCAAAGGTTCACCCTCCAAAGCTAATACAACCTTAACAAACAATAATTGTATAATCAGGGAAATTAAACATAAATAGAGAACATTTACTTGCATATAAAGTGTACCGTTTCGTCGAGTTTTGAGTGGAATGTCCAGGTTAAAATCATGATTAAATGGATGCCAATAATCAAAATTATTTGAGCTGAAAATTTTTGTTACTTCTGTTGAAATTGGATTTGAACTCGTTGATGTAAAAAGCGCTAATTGTAAGCGAGGCTTTCCCGACAAGAACGAGATGTAGCACGGCTCCTCAGAGCACTTAAGTTTAGTAAAAAGTTCGGACATCATCCAAATAGAATGGCAGATGAAAGCGATAAAAACACTGGCCACAATCGTACTTATTGATGGCATCATCATTTCTGCTTTACTCTTTTAATATAAATTATAAATGTTTACGGATTGTCTGCAACAGCAATTCACCGTTTTAGTTTTATTTATTTACTATACACTCAGCTGACGAAAGAGTTTACAGGCAACCAAAGAAAAATAGCTGACGTGAAGTCTATTTTGCTCTTCATTATGCGCAAAACCAAAGAATACATTTCAAAAAACGAAACTTCGAAATTCAACAAAATTTATTGAATTTCACTTGAGACAGAAATGTCAAACGAAAATAATTGAATTTTTTTATTGAAATGAATACGGAAAATTGTATTTGAAAATGAAGCAAATCATTTTCAAATGATGTTTACTTAAAGCCTGAAAATATACAATAGCTATCAAAAAACAGAAAAGCCATTTACTCTGAGTGTAATATTGGGTGTATTCGGAAGCTCTGAAGCAAAGAAGATAAAGAAAAGAAACTGAGAGGAAATTTTGAATAATGGTGCCTCTTTGTGTAATATCGCAAAGAAAATCTCTTTTACTTATTTACCATACCAGAATTGTCAAATATTAAAAACGGTGTGGCTTATAACTTAAATATTTACTACATTTGTGGTTGCATATTAGCATGTAGCCATTTCTTCTAATTAGAAGAAATAGTATAAATTATTGTTCTTGGAAAATCCATTGTATATATTAATACGATTATAATGAGTAAATATAGGCATGATTTTTTATATCAGTTTTACTTCAATTTACATAAAAGTTTTAAATGCGCTATATAAATCAAATATAAATGAAGAATTGGTAAACTAAAATCAATAGTAAATATAAAGTAGCTATTATTGATATATGTAAATATGTATATATAATTAGTCATGCAATTGTTTTAATAAAGTCAAAAAAATTGAATCGTATTTATTAAAATAAAAGTTTTTTTAATCATGTTGCACATATACGTACTATATTTATATGTATGCTGAGCATCTAATAGAAAAGTTAGTATGTGTTCATACATTTCGAGTATTAGGTTGCATTGTTTTAATATTTTGTTTTAAGAAGATTAATATTAATATAATTTTTTAAAATTCAAAAAAAGTTTGGTATATTGTAATACAATTTTTGCTTGTGCATCAAATTTTTTCAATATAGAAAATCGTAAAAATGTATATACTGTTTACTACTACATATTTTTTGTAGTTTTAAGCAATCCTTTCAGTAAGGTGAAATGTTTTTTGCATATGAAATTCAAGAAATTCTTAATTAGTTAATAACAACATTGTTTAGAATAAGGATCAATTTCATCGCATAGTGTTAGAAGAAATATTAAATATATAAGCATTTTCCGCATCACCTAAGAGGTATGCTTGCTGGCGTGTTACCGAGTTTTAGGTGTTCGGTTCCCCAATAGGCCTATCCACCAAAATATTTTATTTAACAAATATACAATTTTATGTAAATACAATTTAGAATAACTTAATATATACAAAATAATATTACTATTTTAAAAATATTTAATATTAAACCAAAAATAATAAGGAACTATTAAATTAAAGATAAATTATAAATAAATTTAATAAATTATAAAATTAAAACTGAAATATTTTTTGTTTAAGCAAAAAATCACTTAAAGAGTATGAACATTTTTGTGCTGTTTATAAGTGTTGAAAGCATAATTCTTTATATTTAAAATTCGACACTTTATTATCTCGATTGAAATATTTTAAAATGAAGTAAATTCTTACTTTAATGAAAAAAGATAGAAGAGTTTCAATTTTGCAATTAGAGCAACATATATAGGGATGAACGTTTTCTAATTTATTAAATAAATGTTGCGCTAAACCTAATTTATAGCAATTGCTATCGAACTGATCCGAAAATTGTGATTCTAATTTTTCAATATATGTATATATAATAACAACACTCAATCAAAGTATAATTAATAATATTAATTTCTCTTCAGGATTTTTCCTTTTTTATAATTATTAGTATATCATGGAAAAAATAAAAAATAAAAGCACAACTTAATTCGTAGTTTATTATACACACTAATTAGGCACACATCTAAGTTTCTAATGTGTTAATACATTTATGTTTTTATTTTATTCTACAACAATAAATTACCGTTATTTTTAATTAATAATATACCTTCGATAATCCTTTGGAAAAATATAGAGATGTTTGAAATTTAAACATCCAAGTACGCACTTCCGTTTCAATTGTAAATAAATTTTAATTAACTAATAATTCATATATTTTTCTGGAATAATTACCTTTTTTAATGCTTTTATAATTGAAAACAAATTCCGCCTTATTTTTCTTTTAGTAATGTGGAATTTGTGCACTTAATTGCAACTTTGGCGCATTTTCTCGTAACGGATTTTTAATGTCA